CTGTCTTCTCCCTATCGCATAGTCTGGCAGGCTCAGTACAGGCGTAAACCATAGATGGTCACCGCAAGATACAACAGAAAAGGAAACCCAAGCACCACGGTTGATTGTTATACAACTCAGTATACCGTAGAATTCAGACGATGTCCCGATGGAACCTTGGCAATTGTTTTTGCTGACTTGTTCCGAGGATCGTCAACCCAGTCTGGACAGCTTCGGCTAACTCGATCTATCTTCTAACACCTGATGTCAGTGTGTTCGTTTGTGCTTTCACTCTTGATTTTTGGAGGCACATACCTTGACTGTATTCAACAGGGCCCTTCCTTGTCAGGCTTGCTCATTAACTGGTATCCAAGCAGGGGCTGGTTAGCCTGATCATCATCTCGAACAGTGATCCTGTGGTCCAGACCCACTTTAAGCATTTCAGCTTACTGAAAAAAACTTGCTTTCTCTTGTTCCCCTCTGTGGTAGTATTTTTGGAGTTTACAGTGCACGAAACCGAACAAGTTCACGCTATCATCGACTATGTTCCGCGTTCCAAATTAAAACTGACATTTAATTGGCTTTTTGCTTAGCGACAGAAACGAAAAACCACGTGATGTGAGCGCTGGAGGGCGTGCCAGTTACTCGATTGTCCTACCTCCAATCAAGTAATCTATTGGTAAACCAACTTTCCCTCTGACAAGAACAGACCGCCGCACCGTATTCCCAAACAAACATTCGACATCAGGAAGGTCAGATTTCTGAGGGCAACCCAGAACGCTCGGAACCTACTGAGACTCCAAAGCTCCACCGAAATCTCAATAAGAGAGCCGGCAAGCATCCAGACCAGTCAGTCATCCAATCAATTCAGCAACAGCCTGGATCGATGAAGTAAAATTCAAATAGCGGTGTTGCACTCGCACGCACTCGCTAGTTTGCAATAAACCTGTTGTGTTCCTTTTCGGTGAGTCTTTTTCCGGCACTAGGCACTGGAGCGGGAACAGCACACAGATATAACATTCGAGCATACAAACGCAGAAACAGTTGATCCCAATAAGACACCCTAGACTTCATTCAGCATCGTTCCATACAATGCGGAATTCAAAACTTTCAGAAACAAATACAACCCGACCGCAGCCCGTTGTCTAAGCCCAACCACACAGTCAGTTTGGGACATTTTGAAATCAAGTCTCACAATTCATCCCATCATATTTATAGCTCTGTTGGCCATCAACCGTTTCGAAAATCATGACGAGGAACAGAATAAAAAGTGATATGAAAGCCTGGAGACTGCTACTTCGCCGACTGTAGGTGGAACCATAGATAGAACGAGAAACGAGTTGGGACGGGAGGTTCCTTGCGTGAAATTTATTCATCCGGACACACCTGAAGCACCTGAATCGTACGTCTCTGACGGTTCGGTGAGCAGACGTTCTGGAAATCAGAAGGACTCGTGTTGACAACCTCTTAGGAATGTCATTTTTGCCAGTGAATTGGGTGTCTTTGCTCCCTTGGTCGAACAAGAATTGGTCCAGGGCTCATGAACGGCTTTGGTAGGTGTGGTCACGTGGGAATGGAAGGCTGTAGATTCTTTCAAGTCTATATCGTAATGGACGGCCACTGTGAACAACAGCGTTCACTCGATTGCTTGGAGGATATACGGCCATGTGACATTCATCACACTGAATTCGAGCGGTCCTAATTGCTCCAACCACGTGAAGGGAAATTTCATCCATACAGCTTCAGGCTGGCGCTTTTCCACATCACGCCCGTGCAAGCTGAACATGAGTTTGTTGCAATGTTGCTTACATTAGCAGTCAAGCGATGGCTTATTTGCTATCTCGTACGATCAGTCTTCTGGCCGGATTCGGACATGTAACGAGCTTCAGCTATTCGCAGACTGACACGTTCGTTGCACTTTTTTCTGCTTGTTGTCTGAATGTCCCAGATAATGGACAGAAGCGAATCAGGCTTGACTACATGAAGCGTGTGATCGATCGGAGGCTATCACGTAGGCCACCCAAACGGGGAAGCTCCCGTTGTGCGGGACTTGATCGGTATTATACCCACATAGCAGTATGCGGCGGGCATATCACCTGTGCCAGTGAATCCGTATATTTTGTGTCCACTCTAAAGTGATGAGATTTCTGAAGTACACTCATTTGCAAACCAATTTGCGGGAGACTCACAAGGAACAAGCCGAATCACTCGTTCATGGTTCATCTGAGTTCCATGTGGGTCTCCCGCAAAATCAAATTGGTTTGCAAATGAGTGTATTTCGCTAATTTCGTGCGATTTTGGTTCAAGTTGAACATAAGGTTGACGGAAACTCGGGGGCTGAGCCTACCTGATGAGCCCCAAGAAGGGCGAAAACGATCGTGGGCTATCGAAGAATTTTCATCAACCTTGTAAGTAGTGTATTACGTCTATGATGAGATTCCTCTTATTTTATCGCGTTTGATTGTCTCAATTTACACCTTCAAAGGGATGTGGTAGCTAGACAACTGTGTAATCTGTAACTTGAAAATCGGGGTGTTTAGATCCCTGAATTATCGATTAACATCCCTAGTGGACTATCGAGCTCGAATTTCCTGATTTATGCTCTCAAGGCTAGTTGTCACAGGAGTGTCGCGAACGCTTTCACAGCTGTTGCGATAGCCTAAATGGGTTGGTGCCATTATACTGAGTGTCTCCATAACAGAAGTATCCTTTTTTCCCACAGAAATTTAGACCCATCAATAATGAATTAAGCAAATGTTTCCCTCCACGATTGGGACCTACCTGTGCGCACGTACCCACCGTTCAGTCTGGACAATGTCGAAATCAAGTATGGTCATTCGACTGTCGGGATCTGGGTTGTCTATGTCACTCTCATACCAGCTTGTTAACGCCAGAAGTCTGGAGAATGCGTGCGATTCCGAAACGAAGAGCTACCTTGTGCTGGACACAGCTGAACGAGACGTTGCAAATAAATTTACCTACCCACGGATTCGATAAGTTTTAGGGAGAAATTGACTAAGTGGTCTTACATTTTTAAAACAAAAATTCCCATCTGTTTTGAAGATTCTGCTATGTGCTGTCCCTTTGTTGTCGACGGCAAAAAACAAAGGAACTTGGAATAAAAGGATTCTGACAGTTTCATTGACCAAAAATGTTCCTGCAAAAACAACAGATCAAAAAACGCCCACCAATTTTCATTATTGAGGTCGACAGGTGTTAACATTTCAAATTACTTGCTCCGGCCGCAAAACGTTACACAATAAATTTACAGGTAAAAGGTATCGGAACAGAGAATGGACATTGAGGGTCACACTCGGTCTTAAGGAAAAAGTTAGAGTGAGGTCAGTCGTTCGGGTTAAGCAGACGGTCCGTGTGAGTGCACAGTATGGTTGTGACGTTCTAGTTAGCATCTCTTTTTGAAAAGCCTTGAAGATATGAACAAAATCACGTATGTGACCTTTGTCGGAGATATGTTACGCGACCGATGACCCCAGTTACGTGTCGCCGATATTGAGCCGCATGACTCATAGCAACTTTGTTGGAAAGCGCTCGGAGATCCGCTGAGAAAGACATCGATGCGTTCTATCCGGGTGACTCACGACAACCACCTGTGAACGCATACTCTATATGTGCTGTAGAGCGATCAGGCAGGAACCAGATAAACAAGTTCTCTGGCTGAAAAAACCTAGCGTAACTGGGATTCTGAAGACGTCCGAATCACGGTCCATTCAGTTGGTGTCTTTTGTTGTCAGCCCTTAACGGGTGAGTACAGTTGGACGGAGCTGTCTGTTAACTATTTTTCGACGGCCATAGGAACAGCAGTTATGCTTTCGTGAATGACACCATGAGAAGATTGCGGACAAATTGAGTTGACGGAATGAGGAAGCGAAGGTGTCTGATGGTTGATGAGAATTCCCACGGCTATGCAAAGGACCTTGCTTCCAGCTGGGTCAATACCGGTAAGGTTTTGTGATTTAGGTAGTCAGCTGCAAATAACTGACCCTCCCTATGCCTTCAAGATCCTCCCGCGCAAAGAAAAACCGAAAGTGTCCACTTTTAAAGAAACGATGCTGATTAGAGCAAAGTAGCCAAAACTTTGCGCACAAAAAACCGTCTTGACGCCGACCAGCTGCTGACCCCGGAATCTTCAATTCTCTTCCTAAGACCAAGTGTGACATCCGAAGTTCAATTTTTGTTACTTTTTCCCTCTAACCTGTTAATGTCTACGACTCAAGAAAGCAATCTGAAATAGTAAAACCTTTCTGTTTCGACGGAATGGGTCATGGGGCTCAGTAATTCAAATTTCCCAACTCGTCATCAACTTGCACTGTGTTAAGCACCTCTTTCACGGAAACGTGCTTGCCCATAGAACTTTCAACGATTCATCCTTAGTTAGACTTATTGGCATAGAAACTGATCATGTAAGCTTCACAAGCTATGCTTTGAGATTAGTATCGAGGACGCATTTTGTTTTAATAGATGCATCAGCCAACTGAAATAATCGCCCGCCAGATCAAGTATACATGTGTTCGTACGGTCGACAATGTTTGGCTTAGTGAGACGATATTTCTATTCTTGGCTACTTTAAGACGAGTATGAACCGAAAAATCGATATACAACAGCCAGTGATGCGAAGCGACAAGGGTCGACAGTGGCGCTCCCATCGAGGGAGGTAATAAAACAACTTTTACAAAGGTCACAGGCGATGAAAGGCGCGGGGAGCACTATACTGTCTTGTGGCAATAACAGAGCTTTATCTATGCGGTATAGAATGAGGAGCAAAGATTTAATTGTATACTGTATGGGATAAAGCAACATGATGCTCTGCAGCCGCTAAACAAATTTCGAGATGTTTTGGATTTCGAATGTCGTGCAACAACAACAGCTACTACATCTAAATGGGTTTCAGACACAAATTAAGCCATCCTGTACACCAAATTGCCATACATTTCCGAAAAAACGAAGTATACCCCCTTATCCCTAAAAATCACACACCGTATGAAACTAAAATCGACACTCACTTGTTGCATACTGTACACAGCCACCATGCTTTCAGGACGGTTGATTAATCCACCTAGCTGTTAAGGCTTATGCGTCAAAAATGCAATCAAGGCGATGGGTTGTCCAGGATCCAGGTCACCGGCCTAAGACAGGCTAGCAATCGAACACCGTGGTTGTCTGATCCAGTAGCCAATCAAATGCAGAGCTTGTCGAAATCGGGGGACAAGGTGAACTGTCTGGACACTTGATTGGCTGTAACGAATCACTGGTACAAATCGGCGTGCCGTACGGCAGCATTACGGCCAATTGGTCGCTCCCACGCAGATCGTGGCCACTGCAAACTTCAGCGGAAAAGTGGTTTGTCTGATTAGTTAGATGCAAGTGGTTGCGGCGTTTGTGCTTTTTGTATTCACATCACCTTTATTTGAGCAATTCTCCTTTCGGCCGTTGATTTGTTTGCGGGCGGGGTAGGTTGGCTGAGAACAATCGACCTGATATCAGCAGTGCGTTGTGAGGGGAAGTTATTTGTGACGTGAGAGACGGGATTTAGAATAACTGAAGAGTCACTCATACGAAGAAATTGTAGAAACAGTTTTACTCCATGGCTATGAAGCTTTGGTCTTCCCATTGGAACACTTTAAGTGCCTCCTAAACCCTGATTAGGGATGCCTTTATATCATGACAGGAGAAAGCTGGCTCCAGCATGCAAACAAAGAAATAGGGCTTGAATTAGTCGTCTATAAATGAAGTGGAATCACCAGAGCATGAAACTCATCAAGCTAGGGTACTATGCATGTTCAACCACCGAGGCACTGTTTTCAGTCGGGAATCCATGCTTGAAGAGAAAACTTGAATGGGAGAGGTTCTGACATAGTGGGGGTCCAGCAGATTCTTATGTGGGTGGTTAGAAATCCAGAAGAATCCAACATTCGCGCTGCTACTTTCTAGCTGGACTGGTTTGTCTGTCGGTATGTGCTGAGCTGGATGAGGATCGCAGACGGCAATGGGTCACTTCCACTATGGCTGTTAGGTGTGCGCATCTCATGTAGAAACCCTGTTCTTTTCTTCTTCCTTTACCCAGAGGATATAAGGTTTTTTCATCAGGCCTTCATCATCTCCCTTTCTCTCAACTCTGTGTCAGTTCAAACCTTCCTCATGAGGCAGCTGACTGATACTGGTATCGTCGATGTAAACGATGACTTTTGGTGAGTGGTGACCAGGAGAATTACACCATCCAAACAGTGAGTGGCTGGAGATAACCGGGCTGTAGTCACAGAAAGGATTGGCCCTCAGCGGGGTACCAGTTTTGCACGCTAAAGTTTTTTTACGTATTGCGTTATACTACGGTGTGATTGGCGCGTTTTTTGATCTGATCATTGCGACTGGAATTCGTAGTCGCTATTTATTCATCGCCTAACGCATCGCAGCCCCAGCGGCATTTCAAAAGTCCATAAAACGTTGGTTATTGGTAAGCAATACGTTACAAACAACATAACACTACACAAAGAGCACTCTTGTTTATTAATAGTTAGGATGGAATAACATCTTGGTTAGAAACAGTGTCACAATCAAAAAAGTACCCTAGAATTTACAGAGAAAGTTTTGGAGGAACTGACGTAAACCACTAAAACCTGAAAAATGGGCACGACGAGGTATAAAAAACCGTCCAAAGAATGAAGTTTTCAGTAGTGTACTATGCTCCTTAGTGTCTCTCTAGATCGCTTCGTTATACCTCCACCAGTCTTAGATGACAATTCAACCAACACTACTCATTTTCCACTCTTGAGTAACTGTCAACTCGGTTTTTTAGTGACACGTCCTCAAAACTCTTCACGATGTGGCCTTCAGTAAAACCCACAGATTCGAGAATGAACTGAAGTAAACACTGATAGTTGAATAGCCGGATATTTTCATGCAGCAAGGCAAAACGTGAGTGATGATCATTCTACAGGCGATCATCAGGGCGTTGTCCATCTGCACTCGTGCGAAAGAGCAGCAAGAATAGCCGTTCCAATTTCTAGATATGCGCATCGCTGTCTAAACAATTCGCAGTAATGAAAACATGATAAAGTTGGTTTTTGTAAGAAGGTGGATAAGCCGAAATGACTGGTCAAATCCTTGGTATTTGGCCCGTTCTGGTCACAACAACGTCGTCTTTGGGTCATTAGACACTGCCAAGGAACAGATTGTGTTTTCCTACAGTTGTAGTACAGTTCCGATAAGCAAGATATTTACACATCACTACCCGTAGAATCTTTGTGAAACGTGCGAAATATTCTCCTTTTTGTTCGGTGTTGAATGAGAAAATGGGGATAGACCTAAGAGGTTGTTACCGCAGGGTGTGGCACTGATGTGCGATAAACCATTTGATTTCACCAATTATAGGATTCAGTAATCAATTCCCTACTTGTATGGTTCATTTACAATAACTGTTAATTGCGTGACGTAATTATTTGTTTCCATATTCCTCAGGCTAGTTCATCCCCCTTCCGTGACTGCTTAAGTTTCAAGACTGAACCGTTCTATTTTATACAAAGCCGACTCTACCACAACCATTTCTATAGACGATTTGTTTACATT